GACCAAGTCAATAATTTGAAAAAAGACATAGAAAACAGTGTTTCTCATGTTTTTGGTGAACATAAGAAATGTGATAATTACTTTTGCAAAGGTGATAAACCAAATGAATTTAATCAAGTTTCGACTTTAAAACAATGTGGGTTGTACAATGATATCATGTCTTTTGCTAACAGACTTATATACAATAGTAAAAGTTTGATCAAAAATATGACAAACAATTCCGCGGAATCATATAACAGCGTCGTTGCTAAGTTTATTGGAGGAAAGAGAGTAGACTTTTCAAAAAGAGGAGGATATAAAATGAGGTGTCAAGCGGCGAGTATTTGCTACAATACAGGGGTTGCATTTCAATCGGTTTTGCACAAAGCAATCACTGATAAAAGTCCCGGTTTCCACACAAAAAAGTTTATTGAAAGAAAAAAGAAATTAAACTGCAAGAGACAGCTATTTCAAAAAACAAAGAAATCCAATAAGAAGCAAGTTGTTGCTGAGACAGACGAAGACTATGGGGACGTGGAAGAAATTTTAGATACTGAAGAACTGACAAGAAGAACAAACGTGTTTCTTAGATCATTGAAGAAAACTAAGGAAGAAATATTAGAAATTGCAGAGAATACAAAAGAACAAAGACAATCCGCATTATGGTTTACAGAAAGACGAAAAAGGATTACCGCTTCTATGTTCGGTAAAATTTGTAAACTGAGGCCTACAACAAATCCAGGTAAAACAATAAAAAACTTCCTTCAAAGTTTTTCCTCAAAAAGCACTTCTTACGGAATTGAACACGAACCCATAGCAATCACAGAGTTTTCTGAGTACTTGGAGCAATCTGTAGAACCGTCTGGATTTTATATCGATGAACAAGCAAATTACCTTGGAGCGAGTCCAGACGGTCTTATTGGTTCTAACGGCCTTGTTGAAATTAAATGCCCTTACAGCTGTAGAACACTAACACCTCAGGAAGCTATTTTAACAAAAAAAATTACATACGCTATTTTCCAAAATGACAATATGCACTTAAAACAAAATCATAATTATTTTTATCAGGTTCAGGGACAGCTACACATAATTAACCGCGATTTTTGTTATTTTGTTGTATGGACGCCGAAAGGATTTCTTTTCGAAAAGATTCAACGAGACGACGAATTCTTTGAAAATAATATGAGCTCTAAACTTAACAATTTTTATTTTCAACATTTTTTGCCCTATGTTACTAAATTACCTCAATAGTTGGCACTAAGTAAATATGTCTTATGTTTCATATGTGCAATTGATATTATGTATATATGTACGACTGCCTTATAGTGTTGTTTGTTATTGAATTATGTTATTTATACTATAGTTATGTATTTTAAAGAAGCTGTTGTATTAATTGTAACAACGCAATTGAGCATAAAATATTGTGTTATTAGTGTAACTTTATTTACTCTTTCTATGTAAAATAAATATGTAAATCCTAAGAATACATTATTTATATTAAGTAATTCCATTTCCTAAAATTATTTTTCATCAATGAAAATAATAATAAGCCTCTAAAATCAAGAATACCATATCCAAGCGATACAAAAATACAAAAATACTCGAAAATTACAGTAATGTCACAATCCAAATAATTCGAATTCTTTCGAAGCATAAACACAATACTCGAAGTTGACCATGTAATTAAGGGGATACTTCCCAAATTCGTCTCATTATAAAATCACCGTATTGCATACTACACGCCTTTCTCGTTAAATATATTTTCTATCGTTCGCACTTTTCAAATTTTATACTTGTTCAAAGAACCGGGATTTGTTTCAGGAGCGAAGGAAGTTCTGTCGAAATAAATTAGGTACGACCAATTTTTAGGAGCTGTGCGGCATATTTACTTACTACAAACGACTACGAGACCACCAGTCCGATACAATAGACCATTCAAGTACTTGACTAATTTATGCGACTCTAGCTTGAGTATTTTGTTGGTTCCCTATTCAGCTCTACTTCGTATAAAACATCCCTAACGCAACGCGTGTAGAAAAATTAATATGCAATACGGCGATTTTACAATGAGAAGAATTTGGGAAGTATCCCCTTAACATGAAACTCTTAACTTCATGCTTTTACACCCCAAATATAAAAAATATGAAGAGAAACACATGTTAAGTACAAACCTATCTTACAAAAGTAAGTAAAAGAAGTAAAAAGGTAATTTTTAGTGAGCAATAATACCTGTTAAATTATGGTACAGTCGAAGCTCTAGTTATAAACGACAATTATTGAAGACAACACCGAGTACATGAATATTGCAAATAACTGCACAAATCACAAAATGTCAAAACATATACCGTGAGGTTTTTTCCTCTGAACCTAGGATAAACTAATGTTAAGTTGGTTGCATACCTGCTGTGTAATGGATTGACTTGAACTTTTAAAAATTGAACATAAAATCTGATCGAGGTTTAGATTATGAATGAGTTATGTCAAAGATATTGCCATTGACATTTGGCACTGTCTTCATGTTAAGGTATTGTAATAAGTACAAGTTGAAAGAACAGAAAATTTAATAACAGATTTATAATATAATAAATGTTCAAAATGACCTTCTTCGCGTTCTAAACAGTGTGCCAAACGATAAAAAAAATTGCACGGTATTTCTAAGGAAATTTGGATTTAGTTCATTACAGGCCGTGCGTATTCGATGTTTTAACTATTGTTTGTAATTTTTTCTTCTTTGCTGTACATTGTACTGAGCGGGTCTTACGTTATTGACCTTTTTAAAACAATTTCGTCAAAAATTTTAATGCAAATGTCATCGTTGACATGGCCTGCTCCTCAATTATTACGAATCGTATGTTCTAGAGACCCTAGATATACTTCCAAAGTATATCTAGGGTCTCTAGTATGTTCAGTTTTTAAAAGTCCAAATCAATCCATTGGAGGGTTAATATGCAACCCAACATACACGTATTATCCTATGTTCAGAGAAAAAAAAACCTTATAGAGTGTAGGAGAGAAAATTATTATCACGGTGAAAACATTTTTTTTCTTTTAAACAATAGCAAATGGGCGTTACCTTTTTTTGCATTTCTAACTTTACTAAAATGTCAGGATTGAACATAATTAAATCATAAACTCACTTTTAAGTCGTCAGTGTTGATAGCTGATTAATTACATTTATAGCCTGGTCAGGAGGGCTGGTGTCGAGGTGAATCGGTCATAACAACAATTATGCAACCTGTAAAATGTGATTGGGGATGTGAGCCATCGATCCCTAAAGTCGATGTGGCGAATTTGCTAATCGGGTATTACTTAATAAATAGCGAGTCCGTGTCATTTTGACTTATTATCAGTCAGCAAGGTTGGTACTATTTTATCAAGAATATGACTGCGTTAATTAACAATTATTTCATCAATCAATGAGCTCTGTCCTAGTGGTTGGAATCACACATGGTCCATACTGCCCGGTACAGAGTGTGCAATGAGCACTAAGGGAAAACCGCACGAAGTGCTCACTCTCATACCGTCGTACGGAGTCTACAAGAGGCGAAGGGGAAGGCCGCGCGACGCACCCAGCTCCTGCTACTATCCCAGGTCTAGTACCAAAGGGTGCAGTCACACCAAGGGAATAACCGCACGAGGTGTCCACTTTGATACTAGTCCTTTGACCACAGACATCAGGATTGATGTCCGCACCGTACCCGCAACAACAGGTATTTCTTCGCCCGCAACAACAGGCATAGAGGTATCACAGGAAGGCGGACAGCCTAATCAAATTAGCTCGACATGTCAAGGCTCATTTCATCACTTTTACTATTTCAGTATCTCTCAGGATTATGTTAACATTATTTGACAACTGACTCGGTACCACTTATCAATAATCATGTCAAATGCAACAATAACAACAAGGAACGGACTCACCAAATCGCAGTAGATAATCCAATTAGCTTTTACAACAATTAACAACGCAGATTACACCTTAGTGAAATCTCACTCACATCACCCCTAAGACCGATAACTCAGTGATACACTCACCTCAACACTTTTCTTTATTATAATAATATAACAAGAATAATAGTCACTTATTCGCTGAATGTAGTCTACACCCGATCGCGTCCGGCTTAAAACTGAAAACTATTCCTTCGGACCTTTTTGGTAAACATCCCGATAAAACACAGGGCCACCCATCTGGGCCAAGTCACTCATCAGGGTTCGCTAATGGACCAGTCAAGTGATTATCGCCCTAAACAGCAGATTCGCTATGCAAGTGTAACGTCGCCGGACCACCCGCACCCCTGCATGGCAGGCCATTAGTAGGCGTGTGAAAGGACATAGGCCAGTTCCCAGTTTCGGGGAAATATATATTTTTACGAGCCCCAAATTAGCATGAAACTCTTAACTGCATGCTTTTACACCCCAAATATAAAAATATGAAGAGAAACACATGTTAAGTACAAACCTATCTTACACAAGATACCTGTATTTACTTGGTCGTTTTAATTTTTGGAGTGGGAGTGTTGTAATTCGATATAGTTAAGTCAAAAATTATTACGACCATATCCCATACATTCTCGGTTTATTTTACTATCAAGTATTTGTTTATAATGGGCGATAAATGTAAGACGCCTGAGAAACGCTGATGAGTACTTCAGTTTGAATTTTATATATGCGTACTTGTGATCTTTAATGTTCATTCGTAATAAGCTTTTAAAACGAAGAGGATTGCAGTTTTAATACACACACTTTAAGGACAACGGTGTTTTAATCAACCCATTTCTTAGAGAAATCTCCCAAATTTTGGGTGTCTTGTTTGCTAATTTATAAAATTGACAAATGTTACTCTTAAACTGGTTCTATTTCTTTTTTAAAACCAACTCAACGTTAGTAAATGAATTCCGTTCACTTGACAAGAGTTGGGTAAATGATTCTACAACACTACCTATACAGGGACATACAGCCAATTCTAACAGAAATTAGGTAGCAATAATTGTAAGAATACATAAATTATTATTGTCGCTACTTACCAGAATCTTCTGTGTAACCGTTGCATTCAAGGAGCATCTAAATTCTATACTTGATGCATTCCCATCCATTTTCCCTGGATTAATAATCAAATTCTTGCTTTTACAGCATTTCACAATTGCTCCAGTGATTGTTTTGTAAATCCAGATAACCCTCCAAGATTTCCGGATTACTTAAGCTTGATAAACTCTGCAACCACCACAAATCATACAGCATCCGACCAATTCTTACAACTCTGTTGTCAGTAATTATCGTCTATTTTTCTTTTCCACAAGAAAAACAGGACGGACACAACACGACTTATTTCTTCGACGAACTTGCAATTATGCACGAATTAACATTTAACAATGACGATGCAGCCGGCAAACATACGGCGAGGGAAGGGCGGTAACGAACCAGTGCTACTCAAAATGTTTTGAGTTTGAGATCCCAGTGGAAGTTTCCAATGGTAAACTCACGTTACGGTCCTTACAAGTAAATAAAAACGAAAATGTAATGATAAGGATAAATGTTGATACATTTATGCTATATGCAATCGTAAAAGGCAAAAGGGAAATATACTAAACTTCAAAATTGCAATATTAACAGAAATATGTCTAAAGTGATATTGATTTCACATTGGTGAAAATGACAATAACACCCATTTTATTGAAACGTGGTATATTATTGGAAAAGGCAGAAGGCCAAAGTCGATAGATTACTAGGAACTTTTGAGAAAGCCATAGATAAATTAATAATACTACGTAAAATAGAATGCAAAGTCGGCTGTAATCTTAGATCATATAATAAATAGATACCACCATGCCGTGTTCTTTCCCTAGGCCAGCCTGTGACGACATCCTCCTGTCACACATCTCTCTCGTGCATGGAGGGATTACAATGAAGCTATCCTTGCCTGATCACTATTTGAAATTTGCGCGCCTAAATTTTAGGAAGTATGTCTGAACTAACTTCGGAAGAAAGATGTTGACAGCTTGATTTTATAAATAATTCACAGTAGATAACGAAAGGAATAGTAAATTATTGGGCAGCAATTGTGATCCTTTATGACTACATCACTTAAAATAGGATCTTTGTTCTAAATTCTAAAATTATTTTTTTGTACAACAACTCGAAAGAGAGGTTAAAAGAAACATCTGTCAAAAGCGATTTGTTGCGCTGGTGCGGTACAAGGATGGAAGTGAAATAGACATATACAGATGAAATGCATATAACAAAGATGAAGATGTGGTGATCACTAGAGAGCGGATTTCCGTCGGGCTAGGCAAGGCCAAACTCGGTACGGCTCGTACGGGATGGGAATTCATTGCAGTTACGGGCTGCACTTCGTTTATTTGGGATTATATTTACGCTGCTTCCTTGCACTCTGCTGTTAATTCCCATTCTCATTTACTTAGTCGTTTGATTAATAAATCGTTAATTGTATTTATGGAATAAGTGACGATTAAATTCAGTGATTACTGATTATTATCTATCACCCGCTACTGAGTCCCTGCGATCCAGCGCGTCCCCACCTATAATCGTGACGTAGCCCGACAGAAATCCGCTGTCTAGTGATCACACAAGGATAGCATTATACTACTCCCCTTGACGTAGAAAACGACAACAGATAGCTTCATGTCTAGTCACAGCTTTCAGTTTGAGTAGTGGTATCTATTTATTACATGATCTAAGGTTGTAATGCGTGTCCCAGGTTTGTGTCTAGGCTTACGTACCGGCCACATAATAAGAGATAGCACTGATAGCAGTGAAGTATTTTTTCCAAAAATTGCTTGGCGACAACTTCCACAGCCAATTTTATGAAACAATAAAAAACTAATGTCATTTATGATTAGTATAAAAGTGTCATTTGTGTGATTATACGTGATAACAAAGAGTAACACTAAAATTATTAAACGCCATCGTTTTCCCAACCCCTACAAATACAACGAGCGTTTTAAAATCTGGTTGGAACGGACAGGGAATCCAAATTTAGACAAATTAGATCCCATGAAAATATATGAAAACGGATATTTTCTTTGCGATGTACATTTTAAAGAAACGGATTTTGGCCCCAATCACAAACTTAAAAATACTGCTATTCCTACAATTCAAATTATGCATGGTAAATATTTGTGTACAAGTGAATGTCATAGATAATTTTTACAATAATTTCAGATTATATGAACGACTCCGAAAGACACACCCATGATCCCGTAAACCCTATTTCTATACTGGATTCTCAAAAATTTTGTACTGAAGTATCTCGAAATTCCAGAGAAACCCTAAACGAAACTTTAAACCAAGAATCTTCTCGAATACTAAATTTACATTGAAATTCTAGGAATATTTCGCGTACAGCCCGTAGAAACAAAATTAAGGTAGCTTCGTATCGCCAACGATTGAAATTATACTCCAAATTTGAAGTAAAATTAGAAAGCAAAATTTTAAGTTAGGATGCTATAAAGTTTTGTTTATCACAATTAAAAAGACGAAATGTCAAACCAAAAGGTCGCAGGTTTACCACTGAAGATAAATTATTTGCATTAATGTTTTATAAACAGTCTGGGAGATGTTATAGAAAAATGAGACAGATTTTTGCACTGCCTTCACGTCAAACAATTATGTGTATGTTGAACAAAATTCCAGTAGACGTTGGTATAAACAAAATAATTTTCGACAATCTTAAAGAATCTGCTTCAAAATTAAATAACCAAGATAAAATATGTGCATTAATTTTTGATGAAATGTCCATAATGCCCCACATAGACTATAACAAATATACGGATACATTTTTCGGATTTCAAAATTTTGGATTTGAACAAAATTTACAGATAGCAGATCATGTTCTTGTTTTTTTCATTTGCGGATTGTTTAAAAAATGGCAACAGCCAATATACTTTGCATTTTCTTTTTCGTCTACAAAATCTTACATATTGACAACTATTATAAAAACTCTGGTTGAAAAAATACAAAATTGTGGATTCAAAATTCTGGTTACAATTTGTGATCAAGGCCAATCAAACCAAGCAGCTATAAATTCTCTGCTAAAGGAGTCGAAACAACGTTATATACATAAAGGGATGGGACCTAAAAGAAGAATTTTATTAGGGGATCAAGAAATTATTCCATTATATGACACGCCTCATTTAATTAAATGTATTAGGAACAATCTGCTTACTAAAAATTTAATGTGGAAAACAAGCGAGGAAATTTTGATTGCAAATTGGAAACATATAATCGATGCGTACTACGGTGATCAAACATGTGGAGAATTACGGGCTCTACACAAAATTACGGATCTCCACGTTATTCCGGAAAAAATCCAAAAGATGAAGATGTGCTATGCGACACGACACAAGTTTTGAGTCACTCAATGGCATCGACTATTACGCTATTGGTTAAATCTAGTAAATACAAATTTAAAAATAATTAGCAGATTCATTTACAATTTAATTTTACAGCCGAATGCAGTTTAACACACGAGGCAATGGGAACAGCACGAATTATAAATTTTGTTGACAACCTCTTCGACAGTGTAAATGGCAGTACTTTTCGACCACGGTGCGGAAAACCATTTTCTGGGGGCGTATTTAAATCTTCTGGTCATAAACATTTTTGGGAGGAAGCTATCAAAATTTTGGGTGATCTGTATTTCGTCGATGAGGCCGGAAAAATGGTAGTACCTCCATGTTTTGTGGATTTACAATTTTAGTAGAACAGGGCAGGTGCAAATATTTTTTACCGAGATGTTTAAATCAAGATGTTATTGAAAACTATTTTGGCAAAATCAGAAGTCAAAGAAATCGAGCAACTAATCTAACGCCAGCCCAATTTAAGGAAAGTTTCAAATCTCTATTATTACGCAATTTTTATAGTTCAAATTCAGTGGGCGCAAACTGTGAGAAAACGAACATACCGGATTTATTTCATATTAAAGGACTTGTGGATAAAAACATAAATCAACCTTGAGTAAATGAAACGAGCTACGAAATTTTAAACGTGAATATGTACATTGCAAAACTGTGTCCATATGATTTAGAAAAAGATCTTCATAAAAATATTGTTGGTTATGTGTCTGGCTGGGTTGCGAAAACATTAAGAAATTTGAAGTGTGAATATTGTAAAACCCAAATTTTAAACAATTTTTCGGAAGACGAACAATGTTACAAATTAATACGTATAAGAGAATACAATTATAATAACAGAAAATTGCAATATTGTAAATTAGATTTTATAAAAAACATTAACAGAATTTATAATATTTCAAGAATCGTTTTAAGCAATTGTACATCTTTCGATAACACCAAAAACAAAATTTCGTTTATAGTATCTCATCATGTCAAATTTTCGTTTCATTGTGAACATAAGGAATTAATTGAAAGTGAAATGTGTAATAAAATTATATATTAAACAATTTTTGCGTTTGTGAAAGGTTTGAATTTAATTTTAAGCGGTCGCGATAAGTACACACATAAAAATGCATTATATTAAAATGCTTGTATAATGTACCAAAAAAAATTAAAGTCAAAAAATCGTAGACAATACTAATAAATAGTATCTTATTCTACTCTGTGTTTTTGATATTATTAGTGATAATGAAAATAAAATAGTAATTATAAAATATGCAGCAATGACGCATCTAGTAGTTCATGCTTTAGCACCGGCCACAAGGCACTAGGGGGCGTTTATTGGGACCAAAAATCAAGTGGGAGTTTGCATTCTATTTACGTAGTATTATTTATCTATGGAGAAAGCGAGAAGGTGGGGCCATCTATCAGTCAAACATTCTGTAACCGTTTTATACAACTTCGTATTTATTTATTTTTTTTTTTAATTTGGAGAATAAACCTGATTTTTTTTCAGATAGCATAAAAGAATAATATACCTTTTAATGAATACATTTCCATTAATAGTTTTTCATCAGTCGTTTTATGTTATTTCTTAGTATGACTCATAAATATCATCACAAAGAGAAAAGCCGTTATGGTATTTGGTATGCAAAAAGACACAGAAAACAATGGGAGAACTATAAGCACGACCGCAGAATAGATAGATCGAATTTTGTCTTTGTGAATTTCAAGTTTCTAAAATGTCGCTGAAAGCAGAAAATTTTACCTCAACAAAAGTTAACATTTTATTGTAGCGCCTACTGAATCGATGACGCTTATGCGACCTTTTGGTATTGATAACACGGCACAGATATTGAAAAATTCGTAGGGGTACAGCAATTTTAACAACCTTTATTACTGTATATCAAGGACAAATAATTCAAGAACAAGTTAACTTCTAATTTGAGGTTATTAAAGAAAAGAATTTGATCCAGAACTTATTTTTCTTACACTAGTTACTTCAGTCTTACTTTCTTAAACCAAAAAGGATCAATCTTGTAAAAGTTTGAGAGTCGCTGATTGCTGGAACGTAAATTCAAATTTCGCTCCATTAAGAATGGTGGGAATCCAAAGCTGCCAATCGCAGCACAAACCATTTCCCTTTATGCTACGATGTCAGCTGACTAATTAACAATTTCCTGTTCGGATGTTTTTACTGACCGTTGTGCTACCAGCAGTCATCCACAAGTCTGTGCACGTTTTAAAGTTAAAACTACGCTTGTTTTAATTTGTCAACATATTAAATATCGTCTGTGATCGCCGCTGGACCGAAAAACGTAAGTCCCATTACCAAATATCGAAAATCATTTTAGAAAATTTGATAAAACCAGTATCACGAAAAAAGTCACGAATTTTCACTACACCACACCATTTCCGTTTCCGTTTTTGCTCTTTCATCACAATCACTGCCTGAATTTTTTCGCTCAACGCTAACGTTTTTCTAGTGATTTTTTGCGGTTGGCTGCCATGCTCGAAATTTCGGCTGCCATACAGTTTTTGTTTGTTTGATTGTTTGAAGCAAATTCGTGTTTTGCTAATTTTATGTGTGAACTGTTGAGAATTGTATGTTGAATTTGTCCAGTTATAATAGTGTTTAAATTTTAAAGAGAAATGGATAGACCCGTTCCCAAAGGCCGTGGGGCCCTGTTAGACATGCTGAAGAAGCACAAGGAGGCAAAGGTTGGCGTTGGCAGTGGTGAACCTGCCGAAGAACTACCACCCAAGAGCCGTGGACGAGCTGCCCTCCTCCAAAAAATCCAAGAGATGAAAGAAAAGAAAGTGGGTGCTGGAGACGAAGCAAAATCACAGGTGGCAAAACCAGGAACCTCGTCAGCATCAACTTCAAGAGATGTGGAGAGATTGTCAACGGCGGTTTCAGAGCTGTCGATTGCTACATCAACAGAACCCATGTCGTTTAAAGGTAAGAAAGTTTTAGACATGTTTCAAGGGCATATTTAAGTACAACAGTTGATTTAGCCTTGGTGGTTGTATGGCTTGAAACACCAGAATGATGGTGATGCCATTCCAGTTCGTGAATCTAGATGCTAGATTTTTCAAATAACTTTGTGTTGAACTTTACAAATATGTTTATTCAACAAATTAAAAGTGCAATAGTAGTTTCAAATTGGTTGCTTTGGTGCAAAATGTTTCTGTATTTGAGAGTTCCTGTCAATAATGCGTTTTATCATACTGTTATTAAATCATATTTCATTGCCTTAAGGGTCCCCAGTAGCAGACCGAAAATGAGCTAAATAGATTTTTATTTTACGGCCGTAATTTCAACATTGAAAAAAAGATCGACATTTCAATTGATAGATTATGTCTAAATCTCTGGGGAACACACAATATTTTTTAAAATAAGTGATTGTTTAGTGTTTAATTAATCGTTCATTCTTCGAAGGAATTTGCATTTTTAGACGAGGAGAAAGCATTTTTCGCTTCAGCTTTTATATCAGTGCAAAGACAACATTGAGCTCTATGGGGAAGACCCGGTCATTTTTGTTTAAAATTTATATTTATCAAAATATTTGCGTTTTAAAAAAATACTGACTAATGAAATCAAATTGAAACTAGGCAACTCTATTTACAAAGGATTCGTTTCCATAAATGGTTGAGTTTGACACAGCAGGGAGCTTTGCCGACCGACCCTTTCAGGTAATCCGTCCAGGTACTTTTATAAACCGTCATAAACAACGGGCGGAATTGTGTTTCATACGCTAGATCCAGTGCTGTCGCGGCGATACTTTGATTACAAATATATTTTTATTTTGGACTATATCAACATAATATAACATTTCAAGATCACAAATCTGTGGTCCTGTGTTTGAAAAATTAAGGGGTATCAAGTATTATTTTTTTAAATAATATAGTAATATAGAAGTAGTTTTTTAACAAGCTGTAAACACTCCTAGCGACGCATTGGCTACGACCTTGTGGACCAGATCAAAGCGTCCCCGCTACTCGCCGTAAAACACACCTTGCTTCAACTGGGGAATTGCATCCGTAAGATAAATTTCCGCCTACTGGTCATAAAACTCATAAATACTTTTAGCTTACGAACATTGTTGAAACTCTTTTACAAGTCGACTTCTTTCATTGCTAACATAATTTGAATTAAAAGTATGCAAATTTTTATAATTTTATACATTGTACTAAAACATTTTCTTACAAAAAATTATTCCAGTAGTTTTTACTAATCTGTCATTCTATATATAAATCAATACACAAAACTGGCAAGATTTAGATTCTCATCACTTCACTAACCACTTATTTACCTCAACAATCATATTTATTTAAATTTAATTTTTTGATACTCTTTTCCGCACCACCTATGAGGTAGAGTATTATAGGCACGTTTTTTACGTGATATCTCCAGTAAACCTATTCCAATATTACTATTTATTCCTGTGCGTGTTTATAGTAGAAGGGGAAAATATTTATATGAACTACACATGACGCGAATGCAAATAAAAAATTTTAATTGTACAATCTTTTCTTTACAATTTGTCTAATGGGTTGATTTGTTTAATAACGAGAATCTACTCTCTCCAGAAGTAAGGCATAAAATAAAATTATTCTCTCTATCTATTTCGCTCTATCATATTATTTTCCCAAAATTTATCATCCCGTTGAATTAAGCATTATTTAAATTGGACATTTTATATATTTCTAAGATAGCGTTTTTGTTTATGAAGCCGTCTGGCGATGCCGCTAAAAATGTACAAACCGCATTGTCTTACTGTCAGTTTGGTGTTACTGCAAAATGCTTCAGTTGCTCTTGCTTCATTTTCTATGCAAAGATTTTGGGAGAGTACATGCTGAACTAGATTTGCAGGGATGTAAAATGTTTTTCACAGTACAGTAGGATTAGCCGTGTTACTTGTTCTCTCATTTTGGAAATTTTACCAAAATAACGTTCGGTTAGTCTAAAGGATTTTTCTGCGCACCATTCTGGATTATTGCGCTCGCAAATTGTGTTTTGTTCGATTAAAAAGACATCAAGGTTTGAAAGTTTTTTGAGAAATACTTTTTGCGCTGTGACATATCAGGTATTTCAACTGCCTCGTTATTAGATACATCGTCGCCCGAGAACTTGTATGATCCAGAGATCGGAGCGCGCTCAGGCCAATGTCGACTCTATAAGCCTCCAGAAATTCTGCGGGAAATAGTTATTATTTAGATGCTTTTGTTTACACACGTCTCACATGTTTCACTCGACTTTGACACTCAACTATTTTTTTTGTTTAACTAAGAATTAATACTTTCACTGCGTTTGATACTAACGTCCTAAATTAGCAATACTAGTGGAACAGTAATCAAGCAATGGATTTTTTTGGGAAAGTACAGTTAATTTTTATGTTTTAGCAGCAATGTGTTCTATTTTCTATTAATTTTTAGGTACATATTTTTAGTCACAATTATTTTGGTAGTTATTTTTTACTTTTATTTTTAGCAATAACAAATAGTCCAAACATGAAAAAATAAAAAAAAATTAAAATCGGAAAATCTAAAATTTAGAAATCGAGAAATTGAACAATCGTATAATTGAAAACTCGAAACATCGAAAAACTGGAAAATCGAAAAATTAAAAAAAAAATGGAAAATCAGAAATATAATGAATTCCGAAAATTGAAAAACTGAAATATGCATAGAAGAACTAAAAACTGGAGAAATCGAAAAATCTAGAATTTTAAAAATTGAAAAATTAAAATATCGAAAAGTTGAAAAATTGCGAAATCGTATCAGTGAAACATCGGACAATTGAGAAATCGAAAAATAAGAAAATGGAGAAATCGAAAATTTGAAGAATGGAAAAATTGAAAATGTCAAAAATTAAAATACTGAAAAATTGAAACATCAAAATCTCAATAATTATCTCAGGATTATGCTACTAATAAATTGATAACATCATCTCAAAATTTGCTGAATAAATTCCACTAAAAATGTGCAAAATATGATGAGTTTGTAATTGTAATTTATCATTGCATTCATATTTTTTTAGATTTGCTTATATACCTAGATGGTTCAAAAAATTAATGAATGAGTCAATTTATTCTATTGATTAAATCAGTCTCGACTCACTCCATTTTCCCATAAATTTTTGGAATACTGTTATTTTTAGTCTAATCCACATTGATTTACGTGTCGTTGCAAAATGTTGATGATTTCATCACAAAATTGTGTACCTAAAGTAAAAATTTAACTCTAAAATGCTGGATATGTTTCATTGTATTTTAGGGGCGAGGAAAGTTCTGTCGAAACAACTTTCCACCAATTTTTCTTGCTGTTATATTTGAACATAAACAGTTTATTTTATATCTTTTTAAAACATTATAAAGAAAATAAAAAGTTGTGTTAGACTGAACCTTGTGGGTTTCTCAATCTATTTTCCGCATTTTAAACTTTCAACTCAATTTCTCTCAAAATAGATAGAAATGGATTTCGATGGTTATTTCCCTGTACCCTTCATTCCAAAATAAATAAGCTTATCTGGTGTTGTTTACCGATTTGCATTTTATGACGGACTCCCTACAGTGACCATAATCTCTCCTCTCTTGGGTCGCTACCTGCCGTGCATCCGTACTTTGGGTTGCATAGTTACAAAAAATAAGTGAAAAGTAAAATTCAGTCATTAGCAGTACCTGGTGAAAAATATACTGTAGGCAGTAGCGCACAATATTACTTATATTTATACTTCAGATGCAAGAAAAGTTCTGTCTAAATAACTTTAGATCAACTTTTTGCATATATCATAAACATAGTGGTTCCACTTAAAAAACTGGTCATTAGTTTTCATTGGATTTCTGTACAAACGATAATTTAAATAAAAATTTGAACTCAAAGGATACAACAAGATATGATAATATATCATAAATAGGAATTTCCTTTCAAAATTGGGTGCTTCCTTGAAAAATTACACTGATATGATTTTATCTTCCTCTAGCGGTCTATGCGGTTCTCTGATAGAAAGCAGCTTTAGGAAGTAAATTTATACGGTATCGATAAGATGACATTGGAGATATGCCCAATTAAAGACTAAAATGTGCATGTATTTTACGACAAAATACACTTTTTACTTCCCGAGCGTAAGCAAAGGAAGTATTGTAATCGAGTCCGTCGGCCGACTCTCTACTTTTACGTTTTCTCGACCTTTTATGACCCCTAGAGGACGAAGAAATAGGTCCTGTTTCCGTCTGTCTGCCGTCCCGAATTTTTATTAGACAAATAATCTCCGAAAGTACTGGACCGACTGTGATGGCGTCACTTAAAAATAGTATATAGTAAATGGACTTTAAGGCTGGCGTCTGGTTCGGTTTAGCCCTATACTAAATACATTGAAAACATCGTCGCGGTTTCCGGAGTTGCATTTTAAAAATATGAGATATATCGCTTTAAAAAAATTATATTTCGAATTAACAAACTTCAGTCCAGGGGACCTCCATATTTATATTCATATCTAGTATGCAGTTTTTACAAAAAAAAATTATAAAGTTGAACAACTTTTACATCACATTTTAACCGGCACATTGATGCATTTTTTGACGAAGTGCTGAAGTTTTTTGCATTCTGAGATAGGAGGTCCCCTGGGGAAAAGTGTCAGCTTTCTTTTGATACCATTTATAATATTAAAAAATCCACGACTGAGGTAAATAACTCGCGAAAAGTCAAAATCTATTGAAACGAGAAATCGACATTAAACGAGCTGTGATGCGGTAGCAGAATGCAGGTTTACTTAGATTCTGACTTGGTTGGAGATTTCAGTATTTTCAAAATGCAATTCCGGAAACTACGACGATGTTTTCAATGTATTTAGTATTGGGCGAAACCGAACCAGACGCCACTCTTAAATTGTATAAAATAACATAGTCCTACACATGTAGTTTATGAATCCGTGTTGAATTTTTACCCGAAATGTCCAGATTTTTGGAAAAAAAAATCAAAATTATGAGACAACATTTTGCAATTTAATTTTGAATCTGGAAAACCGAATGCTTTGAAATCTCGCAGATGGTTTACAGTTATAATATCCCCTCCAAAAAATTGATGACGTCCAAATATGTTTTGCAGCAACTACTCATAACAATTTGAATAAACAAATTTTAAGAAACATCTAAGATAATGGAAACGTTAGGCTAGGGTAGAAATTATTTGAAAGAAAAGACGGATTGATCGGGTTGTAAATCACTCTGGTAAACGCTTAAACTATCGAACTTTAAAATCCAGCTGAACTATAAACCTTTCACTACTCATATTTTTTAAATCATAAAATTGTCGATTTAAGTACCTATACCAACATTTTGCTTCATTTATATTATTGCTAGACATTTGTCGGCGTTTAAAACTCCACTCTTGTATTTTCCCAATGAAAATATTTGTACATACAAGTGGTAATAAAACGGTACCTCATTTAAAAGGACAGAGGGACCTTTACAAACGCAGGTAAACTTTTACAAAATAACAGGGTTGTATTTTACTGGAGACCTGAAATTGCCAAAATATGCACACAATTCGGTCTTTAGGTAAAAATACCAATCAGAACTCGGGGCATGTAGGTATCTAATAATTTTGCGAACATACTAGTTGGCTCCGGCGGCTACTTTTGAATCTTAAGCAACAGGTAAATTGGCTCCGGACTAACAGGTAAATTGGCTCCCGCCAGATGCATGTACTAGTTGGCCCCCATCTCCTGCTGCCTGCATGACGGGTAACGCAGAACTGTGGTTGTTTTCACAAAACCTAATATCTAATGCCAACTGAAAAATTAAATTTCATTTAAAGTTGTTATTTATAATTTTATTCGTTCATCATTGCAACGATAAGTATTTAAGAAAAACAACACATATATGTTCGAACTATTACCCCTAACAATTTTAACAATTTATTTACTATTGCTTGGTAAATATATATATTTTTATTTTTGTTAGTATTGTATTTTGCTGCAAAAGATAAGGTAAATATAAACCAAAACAAAATTGCTGAGCTTCTGTCTGTTTAATTTTGAAGTTTCAGTCGCTTCGTGAGTATGTTCACCACTTTGTTCTATTATTCGAAGCATTCGTCTTGATGTACGATTTACAGCCACGTTTTACACACTGCCAACGTATAACACTTTGAGCTAACACTTTATGAAAATTATATTTATAATTATTACCTAATTAACAGAACTGTTTTCCCTTTTTCACTAATCATTTCGTCCAAATAGTCCATTTTGTAACAATTATCTTAAGCGCTTGGGCACAAGAAAGTTTAAGAAAAAACTGGTATTTTTCGGCCGGAAATTTTGTATTTGTGTTGAATGGGCATTTTCGACCAGTGCAGATAGTAATAAAAATATAGAAATATTTACTCTCACCGTAACGATTGTTATCCTCTTACTTCAAAGACCCCGCAAATCTGGGAAATACCAGAAAACCCCTTTGTAACTACCTTACCGCCACCACTTTCTAGACATAGAAATTTGATGACTATGGAATTATATGTTCCTGTAATTCAAACAACACATCTCTTCCGACAGCAGGAAATAACGTATCTGCAGATGATCCCCTCACCGTAGGAGGTACCATAAAATCTACCTTCCTTGCACCATCGGAGCCAATTTACCTATACCCATTTTTCGGCAGAGGGTCAAATACCGTCCGCCGGAGCCAACTAGCATGTACCCATAATTTTTAAAATGCACAAATAACACTACCGTTGTCCACTATTTTTTTCCTATTTTTGTTCTTGAGAAGATTGTATGTGAATCTCCATTTTCGGGAATTTTTATTTTTTAGCATTAGTGATAATTAAATAGTAGTTAGAAAGTAATAAATAATATCATCAGATAGTGCCTGTAGCCGATGTCGGTACACTTCCGCAATTTACGGATCGGATTAACGACCCCTGCACAACTGGTCCTCAATTTAGTTCCACCGGAAATGAATCAGTAAGTTTCACATATTTCTGGTTCTGAACGGTCAAGGGTAAATTCAGGTAGCCGGCTTTTGTTTGCAGTTATGGCTAGACAGGTACTGCGGGCTTGTGTAGCAAAACTTATTTCCGTACAGTAAAAAGTAGAATTCTATGGATCGGTGCTGCATTTATTCATATTTTAGCAGCTCACTAACACAGGACAGCATTTCCCTGGTCGTTTTATTCTCATTTTGACCAGACAGATATTTTGCCTACATACGCCAGCCTTAAACACGCTCTTAAGGTACGTGTCCACTTGAGAGGGCACTTGCGTGAAATAATTGCAAAATCAGCGCGTAAAACTATGGTCGGGTCTGCCCTCAACTGGGTAAGCGTATCGTTTTTACCTGGTTTCTCCGAGTTTCTGAGCGACTTCCACAATACGAACGCATTTTGAAGTGCGACAGTGATCTCCGATCACTCTGTTTTACGTGTATTTGTTTCGTAATAACTGAATTCATTGCAATAATAGACCTCTGAAATTTGAAATGACAACTTAAGATTAAGGATGGTATAAAATTAAAATCAGAATTCTCCTGAGAGTTGCTCTCCAGTGGACACGTACCTTTACGGTGTTAAATTGGTTCTTTCCAGGCGACAACTAAAGGAAATGTTGTATGTAATACGATCATTTTCATGTTTCCCCAATGTTTCATATCTTTATTAGAATGGTAGGATCTCTTTACGTTTAAAACTTTGAAAAAACATGAAGTTGACGATTGTCGCAATGGAGTCCAATTACACATACTTCCTAGCTAATGCTGTATACAACATTGTATTGTGTAAGCCACAACACATTTTTTAATGAACTGCAAAATTCAATGATCCCATTACCTTTAGTACATTTTTAAACACAATGAAACGTATTCTGCTTATTGGACATTTTATATTGCCTTACGTTTGTGCTTTGACATGCATAAAAATTTGGTTGACACAGAAAAAATAGTAATTATTATACTGAGGAATAACGCTTTTCTTTGATAATACCTCCCTGAAATTATTTTAACACATTTGCTGCAAGTCCAGTCACCACTTGTAATCTTAATGGAACTTAAGACAATGTCTAAAAAATACACCATGTGCCAATTTACTATTAACTAACAAGATCATCAACAATTTGAATTTATTGATTAAAAAAAAAAACATGTGCATTTATGGAAGTACAAACAACTTCCACATTTTCTGATTTGAATATTTTCAATAAATTATGTTGCTTCATTAGTCATTACAATTATGACGTAACAATAAAATTAATTCATTTTAGGTGCAATGGGGACTCCAATCCGCGCCACCGCAAATTACATCTTCCTGAAGGTAGAAAAGGACCGTGGCGTTTTTGAATACGAAGTTCGATTTCAACCTGAAATCGACGCCAAATCATACCGAAAGAAACTGGTGGCTCAAGCTTTAGGGGAACAAGGTGCAACGAGGGCTTACGATGGCGACGTTTTCCTGTATTTACCCTTCCAAGTATTCACTGATAGACAGGAATTCGAAGGAGTGATTCCCCATACGAGTGACAGGGTGACGACCATAATAATATACAAACGCAAAAGAAAAATGGGAGAGTGTCTCCACTTATACAACGTCCTCTTCAAAAGGATCATGCATATCTTACTTTATAAGCGAATCGGCCGCAACTACTTCAGTCCGGACCACAAACAAATTGTACCTCAACACAAACTGGAAGTTCTTCCTGGTTTCGTCGTCCACGTGGACGAAATGGAAGGTGGACTCATGCTTTGCCTAGATACCCAACACAAAGTTATTCGTTCTCAAACCGTGTACGAACTAATGGGCGAGATCCATTCGGCTGTTGGCGGTGATAGGTCGTATAAAGGTAAAGTAAGAGACAACGTCGTGGGATCTTGTGTTTTGACCAAGTACAACAACAAGACGTACACGGTCGACGACGTGGATTTTGATACCTGCCCAAGAAGTGTATTTCATGCGAGCGATGGGTCAGACAAAACGTTTATTGATTATTATAAGCAACATCATAACATCACTATACATGATCCAGATCAGCCAATGCTGGTCACTAAGGTTACAAAACGAGTGAATGGCGAAAAACAGGAAAGGATTATTCGATTAATTCCTGAACTCAGCTACTTGACGGGGTTGACTGACGCCATGAGAAGCGATTTTAAGGTTAGTTGAGGTTATTTATCTGAAAACAATAAAACTGTGGTTGCATGTGCTATCTTGTGCTGAAACCACACGTGTCCGGCGGATGTTATAACGTACAAATAACAGGAAAAACATTGTCATAAACAATAATTCGTTTAGAATTTTTTTATATAGTTCAAACGATTCTATATCTGCGTTTTAAATTCTCTTTTTATGTGATATCTACGGGCCCTAACAACTAAATATTGGGACACCAACAAATTTTTATAAAAAAAATCACCAAACTTTTTAACAAAAATATAATTTATTTTAGATAATTAAAATTTTAAAATTAATTCGTTTTGCAAAACTGTTAATGTTTACAGCACAACAAAAACTGATTTCTACCTCAAACAGTGACATAAAACTCTAAAACAACGTAAAATTTTGTGACACATAAATATTGGGACACAGCAAATTCAGTAACTGGTCATATCTCCTTTTGCCTTAATAACTGCAGGAATTCTTGCCATCATGCTTTCAACTAATTTTCTACAATACACAGGAGTTGTTACCGTATCCTACACTCGCTAAATTTCCCGTTGAAAATTGACAATCGTTTGTGATGGATGATTTCCTAAATATTTTTTTATTTCACGCCATACCGTCTCTACTAGATTAGGATCTGCGCTATTCGATGATCAGGGCAAACATTTATATTATTATTCTTTGTAATAAGTGTTGTAGGTGTGTAACTTGACGCATCATCCTGTTGAAAAATATAAATATCAACAGGATAGACTGCTGCAGTAGTTGTTAATATTTTTTTACAAAGTCTCTTGATATTTGTTTGAATTTGTAATTTCCCTTCCATGAACGTTATTAACTGGTCTTTAAATTCCGTTAATAGAGATGCACCCCCAAACCATTTTTCCGCTTGGAAACTTGACTCTTTGTTTGAGATAATCCATATTAAAATTCCTTTTTTATTTCAATAACTCTTTTTCGACTATTATTTCACCCAGACATCAAATTTGGACTCAGCGTTATATATTACTTTTCTCCAATTTTTATTTTGGTCATATTAACCGATTTTTCTTGTGGGCAGTTTTTAATTGTTGTTTTACTTTAGCTTAAAATAATATAAATAAATAATAAAGTCCATCAAAGATAGCTTTATTTAAGGTTTACAATGTAAAGACCAAGGCTTGTGTATGCATACGCGACAATATTGCCTTGAAAAATTTAGTTGGTTATCGCTATTCCAGCAAGTATAGTAATTTCTCTTGAAGTAGTCCGTCGTCCACTTTTATAAATTTTCATCAGTTGTCGTTGATCACGCGGCTTCACAAGTGGTGGCCTACCGGGAATTTTACCTTTTATTCCGATGGTACCTCTGTCTGCGTAATATTTTACGACATTTACCATCGACGACTAAGCTATCTGGAACAAATCTTCACTTTTTCTTAGCGATTTTCCCTTGAGGTACTGAGAAATTATTATTTTCAGAACTTTTACTAAAACTAGCCCGCCGCTAACTATTTTTTTCTAAATAAAACCAACACTAGCATGAAATGCTACGATCCCTATAATAATGGCAGCATTTACCAGCTACTATGTTTGTATTTCGATGGTATACTTAGCAAATTTTCTCGGGTGTCCCAACATTTAAATGTCAGCAAAAATTGCACATTTTTTAGTTAGGTGACAATTTTTGCGCTCTAAGAAAATTTATTAATTTGCAAAATACCTCTCTCTGCCAAAATTGATGCCCATGCAAAATTTGCATTTAGTCCAAACCAATTGAATGATATCAAAAATATCTACCGGATTTTTTTGAGAAATTGTCTGTGTCCCAATATTTAGTTGTTAGGGCTCGTAGAATTGTAATTCATTAGCACAGAAATATTAACCTTCATTATAATAATACAACCAATCATTTCAGGTCATGAAAGATGTCGCCGCATTCACTCGAGTAACGCCAGGCCAACGATCACTCGCCCTTCGTACATACTTAGAGCGAGTAAAACAATCGGAGGAAGCTCAGAACGTTTTAGCCGGTTGGGGCCTTACTTTGGCTAATGGTACAGCCGATTTGGACGCGCGGGTTCTACCACAAGAAGCAATCTATTTTGGTGGACCGCATGCAGAAGAACGGAAGTATGTTGGTGGTAGCGACTGGAACAAAGCCGTGTCAGATAATAACTTGACGGGGCCCATCGACATCCATACTTGGCAGTTATACTATACCAGACGCGATCAAAAACACGCCGCAAACTTCGCAGAAACCATCGTCAGATTGGGTAGGGGAATGGGTTGTATTATTAAAAATCCGCAACATGTCATGTTGGACGACGATCGAACCGACACCTACATGACTGCCATACGTACCAACGTTACCAGTGACCTACAGGTAAAGTCGATGCATCTTTGTATCTTGTAATAATTTATTTGTAAGCTTTTCTTTTCGCGTGATGTAGCTCTTGCCAATATCTAATTCTAAATGTTTATTTTTCAGGTTGCCGTATTCATCTGTCCGACCATCCGCGCCGACCGTTACTCGATTATTAAAAAAATGTGTTGTGTCAATCATCCCCTGGCAAGTCAGGTCATCCTCAGTAAAACTCTATCCAATCAAAACAAGGTGCGAACCATCATCCATAAAATCGGCATGCAGATCACGTGCAAGTTAGGTGGTACCCTGTGGTGTGTGAAAATCCCTGTTTCTGGATGGATGGTATGTGGAATTGACGTCTACCATGGAGCTAACAAGCAATCCGTTTGCGGGTTGGTGTCATCCATCAACGATTCTCTAACAAAGTACTACAGTGAAGCCATGTTTCAAGATGGCGAAATCGGTGACTTCTATAAAGTGGCCTTCAGAAAGTCGCTGATGCTCCATAAAGAACGACGAGGGAGCTTCCCACAAAAAGTTATAGTGTTCCGAGATGGGGTCGGCGATGGTCAACTAGACCACTGCCGACGATACGAAGTCACCCAGTTTACGGATGTCATCAAGGAGTTAAATATAGACACGACTATTACGTATGTCGTGGTACAGAAAAGGATCAACACTAGAATATTCAAAATGGTGGGCAATAACGACTGTGACAATCCGCCATCGGGTACCGTTGTGGATTCGATCGTGACGCGTCGGTACCTAGCAGACTTTTATTTGGTGCCCCAGAGTGTAAGGCAAGGCACCGTGAACCCGACGCACTACATTATAGTGCACGACGACGCAAACATCAAACCCGATCATTTGCAACGACTCGCGTACAAGTTGTGTCATTTGTATTATAATTGGTCTGGTACAATCAGGGTACCTGCTCCATGCCTTTATGCTCATAAGTTGGCGGCTTTGGTGGGACAGTACATCAAGAAAATTCCCGCAGGGGAGTTGAACGATAAATTGTATTACCTATAAGAAACGAACTTATTCTACTGCGAATTTAAAAAATGACGAAGTGTTCATTGCACAGTACAAATTGAATTTTTTATATAGTTAAGTTGATATTAAGTTTGTATTGTACTGTTGTCAGAGGGGGAACTACGAAAATCGGTGAAATCCTAATAACTGAATTGAGCAAATTATAAACGTTGCCGGATTTTGCCAATTTTCGTTAAGAGCGCCTTTTCGTGTATTATTTTTTTATATATACATATATAAGTATAAGTTTTCTAACAGAAAGAGCAGGTATTCACATGTTACTTATTATATTAAATGTGCAAAAAAAGTTTGATTTCATTGTTAAAATTGTGACAAAAATTAGTTTTAGAAAAAAGTTACGAATATATTTTTTTCGATTTTGAATTTTAATGACTGTTAGTATTGTAGGTACGCCTTCCACGCAATGTAATATCGTACTTGTAATTCTCTACGATTTGTTAAATCCTGCATTTTATTCTTTTTGTAAAATTTATACAAAAATAAATGATATTAATTTTTTTTAGATATTTTTTTTATTTAATTTAATACGCGTCAGGTGCCATATTAAGAATTAACTATCTATAAAGTTTATATCACAAGTCATACTTTCGATTATAAAGATATACATATTCTTGATTAGTAATAGTTTTTACAACAAAATTTATTTAAAATTTTAAAAAATCACTAAACTTGTTTGAAGAATTCAGAAATTATTTACGTACTCGTTACATGTGTATCGTTGCTCTGAGACTTTTCCTAGATCAACATGTCCGCAGTTCATAGGCGCTTTTCTTGGCAGGAATAGTGGACGACGTCACCATTAGGATACCGTATCAAAGCACTGAAAAAAAAAACAGAATGAAAAAACAATTACACTACATACTAATCGCTTATAAAATTTGGCCACTTTGGGAAAAAAGACATTTGATTTGATTACCCCACGTCATCTGAAGGTAAGTTACTATGTGGAGAAACGCCGACCCCATTAAAATTTTTTTAAAAATATTGAAATTTTGGGTTTTCGCAATTAAAAAAATTATCGAAGGTTGTTTCGACAAAACTTCCCTCGCCCCTAAAGTACAATGAAACATTTTAGAAAAATTATGAAATATGATTCACCGAATTTTATTTTTTGATGAGAACCTCTATAAGTTTCAAATGATTTTTTAAGTAAGACAGAGGGCGATTTTTTTAAGATGAACTTACTGTAAATAGAATTGTGGCTCAATGGCTCAATAATCGTACAAGTATGTATGCAGTTTCAACAAAAATTCGTGTGTAGGATAATAATATTTGGACAGGCGTCGATACAAAATTTGGTAAGTGAAAATATCTCATAGAGTAAAAAGTATTACTTCCTTTCAGACGAAGAATAACTGCCGTCAAAGGGATGCCCTTAGCATGTCCGGTTTAACAAGTGAAGCAGGCTCGGGTTTTACAGCTGTTCGCTAAAATTGTCACAAATCACTCCTTGTGTGATAGAGGGTGGGTCTGTGGGTGATAATTATCCTGGGTTTTGTCAAAAGATAATCGAAGACGTCTTAGTATTGTAAAATCTCACAAAAAAAATATAACGTCCATTTTGCAAAAGAAATATGTTTTCCCTTTCTGTCCCCACACGTAAATATTATGATTTTGAGCAATAAAAAAAAATGGAAGATTATACTTGCATTGAGCAGAATAATGAAATTTGTGCGAGGTAAAATTTTGTTCAAAAGTGTCTAAACCACCGAAAATGTTACGATAGGGTTTAAAAAGAAAATTTAAATTCAAAAATTTCGTAAACAAATATCTCACACTAGGAAAGAAAACAATTTATTTACATGCCATATAATTTCTTAATTAATAATCACTCTCAAAGTCGCTTTGAGTGTTAGCAAAAAACTCATCAGATTCACTAAACGCTTCTTCTGATGATTCTGGTTCCACTTCTGTCATATCATAGATATCTTTGGGGATTGAATCAATTACCAACTCTTGCGCTCGCACTAAACGAGAAGCTGTAGGTATGATCCAGCAAAGCTTGCAGTTTTACTTCTGCAACTGATTCAGAAATAACAGTAAATTCTTTTTGTGGATAACACTATTCCTTAGCAGCTTTTAATTTTTGATAATTGGAATAGATATTTGCCCTTTTTAATCTTGCCTGTGTTTTTATTTTCATGTACTGGTTTTTGGTTAGTTTTGTCTTAATAAGTAGAGACAAAGCTTCCTCCGGTTGCCCTTGTTGGTGTTGCATTTACAGCAACTGGGCGGCGTCTGTTTTTCCAGAACGTAAACTCATTTTCGTAGCATAGACTAACTCTTCAGTTTTGTATTCTCGTAATTGTTGAATTTTTCTTCGTTTTCATCTTTCACTGCTTTGTTCAAACGCTTTTTGAGGTCGTCCCAAGCCCGATGTTGTTAGTAAATCTTCCTCGATCACTGGAACTTTCTCAAAAGACTCAAGCGGAAAACGAAAAACCTTATTTAACCATTCTGCATTTTTTTTGTAAAAAATGTTTTTCAATCATATTGCTCCGTTTCCATCTTTTTAAAATTTCGACACATAAATTATCAAGCGCTTCTTGAACTTGTTTAATATTTTCTTCAGAAAATTTTCCCACGTCCAACTGCGACAACACAGTAGTTTGTACATAGTGACACTTGGTTTTAGGATTTTCACGAATTTTTTCGTACCAGACCTTATACAAATCAATATATTTGTATAAAGGCATCCTTGAAAAGTGAAAACATGTTATAAATCATTGTTAAACATATCCGTCAGCAGAAATTAATATAGGATTTTAATAAATATTAATACACATTTTTTTAAAGATATTTCTTACTGAATAAAGAGCAGGGAGACAACTCTTGTGAGTTATTTTTCATTAAAACTGTGTATTTATTTGTAAATCATAAAATAATAATGATACCTGCCCTGTCGCGAAATATGTCCACAAATCTACACCACCTTCAGATGTGACCGCAACTTTAGGCAACTGGGTATTTCTAGAGGTGGAGGAGTTCTTTTAGCAGTAAATAACAAGTTACAGGCGGAATTACTAAACTTATCGTATCTTCGCGATAACATCACTTCTATTGAAGTAATTGGTTGTAAATTTAACTTTAAGACCAAACCACTTTGTATCATATACTTAGTTTATATCGTGGATTTCGAGCCGATCGACTCAGTCCGATCCGATTGAAACTAATAGTATAAACGCTGCAGATCGAATGTTGAAGCGGATTGACTATCAAAATTCGATCCGACAAACTAGTCGGATCGAATCGTACCGATCGGATCTAAAACGGATTCAAATGCTTGAAGATGCGATGTAAACGGCTTGAACTTTTATAGGTTTATTATTTATGTTGACCACTTCACAGATAAAAAGAAATAATGTTATACTATTATCTTTCTCCAAACGTCAAACTCAAACCAATTTCAAACTACAAATCAGTGGATCGAACGGACTGTTTTCCGTGATATAAACGCCCGTAGATTAAAGTGGGTTTGACAACTTCGATCGTCTCGAAATTCGATCGGATCGAAATCTACGATATAAACAAACTAATAGTAGCTTATTTCTCTAAAACACCATCTGTAAATGACTTGTCTATATTTTGCAATTTCTTTGAAGAGCACTACAATTCAGACAGCAATGATTTAATAATTTTGGGTGATTTTAATATACCATTCTTTAACATGGACATAAATAATAATGTAATGAATACAATTAATAACTTTTGCAGATTCTTGAACTTGACCCAATGCAAGGATGTGAAAAATTCTTCTGGTAGATTACTCGACCTTATATTTGCTAATGTAAATTGTAAAATCAGTCATGATAATGATTCTATTATCCCTGAAGACAGCCACCACCCTGCTCTGTTAATTTCTGTTGAATCGTTTAACACTTTTCTTAATTTTACTAATGATTACAGCAACTTTTGGACTTATAACTTTAAGAAAGCTAACTTTCAAACGCTTTATCGCGACCTGTTTGATATTGATTGGTCATTTTTAGACAAATGCAATAATGTTGATGATTCAGTTGAACAGTTTTACAATGTGCTCTATAGTACTCTTGACAAGCACGTTCCACGTTATAACTTCACTTCTAAACAAAAAACAACGTATCCCCTTTGGTTCCACTTTGATATTATAAGAAAACTTAAACTAAAAACATATTATCATAATAAGTATAAACAAACCAAAAATGAATTTTATCTAGACAAATTCAAAGAATATCGTAAATGTGTCAAAAAAGATATTGCATAAAAAGTATATTGAGGTAACGCAAAATAACATAACCAAAGATCCAAAGAGATTCTGGTCCTATATTAAGTCCAGGAAAGGTGAATCAAGAATTCCGGGTAGAATGACATTCGAAAATGATATCATAACTTCGAGCGGAAAAATAGTTGACTTTTTTCTCAAGCAAAAACAAGTTCGTCTGATATCCCCGCACTAACTATCCGCACAATAACTGAAAATGATGTTTTGAATGCTTTAAACAAATTAAAAAGTTCACTAACAAGTGGCCCGGATAATGTTCCATGCTTTATGGTTCGCGATTGCAAATATGTTTTTGTAAAACCCCTTTCAACAATCTTTAATTTGTCACTGAAAGTAGGTTCTTTTCCGTCTTTATGGAAGCTCTCAAAAGTTACGCCCGTGTTTAAAAGTGGTGACAACACAGATGTCAATAATTACCGTCCTATTTCTATCTTGAGTAATTTTTCAAAAGTTTTTCAAATTGTTATATACTCCTACTTATATCCTCATGTAAAAACCTACATATCGCCCCAACAACATGGCTTTATTAATAAAAGATCTACTTTAACTAATCTGACATGTATTACTCAATTTATATCTGATGCTATTGATAAACAATCGCAGGTAGACGTAATTTACATTGATTTCTCAAAGGCGTTTGACACAATCGATCACGGCATTTTATTACAAAAACTTGAGTTATTTGGTTTAACAGGTAGGATCTTTCGACTTATTAAATCATACTTATCTAACAGGTGTCAGTTTGTGTATTACAATGGCTGTCGCTCGTTGACATATGATGTGAAATCGGGGGTTCCACAAGGTGCAAATCTTGGACCACTAATGTTTTTGATTTTCATCAATGATTTACCTGCCACTGTAAGTCCCGCCCTACTGTTTGCTGACGATGCTAAGTTATATAGAATTGTGAACAACATCAATGATGCACTTTTTCTTCAAGAGGATCTTGATTCTCTGAATAAATGGTGTCTGGACAATAAACTTTCATTAAACGCCGCCAATTGTAAAATAGTGTCATTTACTCGTAAAAAATGTCCAATTGCCTTCAATTACAAAATTAAAGACAAACTCTTAAGCCGCCACAATGTTGTTAAAGATCTAGGCATATATTTTGACTCAGAATTAAACTTTCATCACCATATAAACGAACTTACTGCCAGAGCAACTTCTATTCTTGGTTTCATTATCAGAAATAGCAGGGATTTCACTGATTTAAGCATTATAAAACTGTTATATAACACTTTCATCTTATCTATCCTTCAATATTGTTGTCCTATATGGAACCCAATTTATGTCACACAAATTAACTTACTCGAATCTGTTCAAAGACGCTTTTTAAAATTTCTTTGGTATAAGAAGTACGGTGTCTACCCTGAACGAGGAATCGACAACGAACTTCTCAATAGAGCGTTTGATACGTTACCTTTAACAATCAAAAGGCAAATAAATATTGTCATATTTTTCTATCAACTTCTAAATTACAATGTCGACTGTGCTGAATTGTTAGCTAATATATCTTTTCATGTACCTCGCCAAAATTCCAGAAATATTTCCCTAACGTATACGTCCACACCACATTCTAATACTTTCATTAAATCTCCCATATACACAATGTGCAAACTTTATAATAAGGAATTCTGTATTATTGATATATTCAGTTTAATAGTTTAAAATTTAAAAAATTAATCATTCAACATTGTTATGCAAAATTAAATGTTTAGCACTGTTTTTTCACCTTGTTTATACATTATAATGATTTGTTATTTTTTGTTCTTTCTTTTGTTACATTTATATGAGTAAATTTTGTTCGGTTTAGAATGCTAATAATTTTGTTCTTTTGTATTAATATCGTTGAACTGTAATTGCTGCAACTGCTAATAATAATTTTGTCCTTCTTTTTATTACATTTATATAAGTATAATTTTGTTCGGTTTAGAATGCTAATTATTTTGTTCTTTTTGTATTAATTTTGTTGCTCTGTAATTGGTTTTGTAAAAACTGTTGGGCAATAAACGCTATTATTATTATTAAAAAAAAAACGTATCTTTAAAAGTTACAGGAAGTAGTATTTTGTAGTATTTTATTAACGATATATGAAGCTATATTTTAGAACAAAAACGAATTGCACCAAAAAAGTGTGGGCGCATTCAAAAATGAAATTGTGTAAAATTTTGCTAACGTGCAATGTAGTTTTTAATGACACGTAACTATGTAAATAATTATTATTTATATTGAAAAAAATATACGTAATGAGCCACCTACCTTTCATTGTTTCAGACATTATTAACAATTACCACTGACGTAGTTACAAATTGTAAAAAAATACTTTCAACACCGCTGCGATATCTGCCGTAATTTGTCACAACTCGACCACTCAAGAGGACTGAATATTATAAGCTGTCGCTTGAGCGCAAGTGGATAAATCATACTGGAACTTGCACCCCTACTTAGCCTAAATATTTACTTTAGAGAAATATGAATTTTAAAATAATTTTGAAGAGTTGCAGTTTTAGACTTTTGGCCAGATTTCCCAACTTTGACCCACTGTGCGCTGGTAGAAAAACGTCATTAGTGACGTCAGCGTCTCGTCCAACAAGGTCCGTTACAACACATTGTCTATCTAAAGCACTGAAAGTTACAAAAGACCACCCACACCTTGGGGAACTACGCAACGGAACATTCAGAAATACATTGAGCAATGGAAATTTTAGCTGTCAGTACAATTCACATCCCAACTTCTTACAAATGAACTTACCTTTGATTTCCAAATCTCTTTTTGCAAACTTGACACACATTCATCTCCGTAACCAAAACATGCTGACTCTGTAAGTGGAGCCGCATTTCTTGGCATTGCAGATGTTCCGCGTAGAGCAAACCCTTTAAAAGTTGTACCCTCCGTCTCTCTTTAACCGCTTTTTGCAAAGCCACTAGCAAAAACTTATGAATTCTCGTAACCGGGACATTGTCTGGCAACACCGCAAGAACCTCCAAAGGATCCATTTTGAAAGCATGTTCTTTTAAAAGCTCTAGAGCCAGCTCTAGATCCGGTTGTGCTGTTTTCGGTGAGAGAGTCAGTCCTGGAAGCGCTAGAGGACAACTGTCTGGATTCAAAACGAGCTTAATCAAAGATGCATAAACCTGCTGAGAAAAAAAAATCACTGATGGAAAATACAAAATATTTTTCATTACGCTTTGGCATCCTGGAGTGTTCGATTCGTACACTTTTTGCGCATATTCTACCGCCTTTTGTACATCTCCTAAGGCTCTAACATAAATGGCTAATGACTGTTCGTGCTTTCCCAACCGTCCTAAGATGATGGCTCTTTCTTCTAGTAAACTGTCAGTCGGGAAGTGGCCGAGAACCGTGTCCGCTGTGTAATGTGGACTTTTCTTTAAAAATTCGAGCAACTTCTTTCGCGTGTGTTCTGCAGCTGCTGGTCCTTCGCTTACTGCTTTTTCGCGATATTGATGGACCAGAGCGTTGTGAAAGAGTGGATTGCTGTCCTCCCAAACGTGGACAACGTGTTCTAGGTACGGTATAACGACTGAGGCGTGCGAGCGGAGGAGGAAATCTAGCACACGCGGTCTGGGAAGGGCTTCTACTTCTGCCAAATCTTCAGTGAATATCTAAAAATACAAATATTCCTACTTTACTTCAGGCGAAAGCAGAATTCTAAACTAATTTGGCCAAGATTTTCAAACTAAGACTCATCCTCATAATTTTAACGTGATCTTACCTTTAGTCCTTCTTCTGGGGAGGCAGTCAATACCCAATCGGAAAACTCGATTATCAATCCCATATTATCAGCACCCAAATGCTGTAAATAAGCTATCGTTCGTTCGGTTCCTGCTTCCTCCTGCAACAACTCCAGAGCACGCCTATGCTGTCCTTTCGTTTGGTACAAAATAATAAGCTCATTATGTTTACCCATTTTCTTCAAGATTTTTTCAGTCTCACCCAAATGACAATGATTTAATCTCAACAAAGGTGCTACTAGAGCATCATTAGTTTGTAGATAACATTTAAGAAGTGTCGTATCAATGATCTGTAAAAGCTGTTGGGTAGATTTACTAAAATTAGTTTTCTCGTTAAGATTGCCTCTAGCGTTTACGTTCGCCTAGAACAGTGTTATTTAAAAATCGTTACTGAGTGAGGAATTAAGACACTTACTTGCGTTTCCGACTGAAGTCTATGTCTCATCTCTGTCAAATAATCAATCAAAGCCAACAATCCAGTCTCTAGTTCTTTCTCAGTCAAATCCTTCGGAGGTTCCGGATAATCCGTAGCTGCAGTCTGTTGAGGAAGCAAGTCCGGAAACAGCCTAATCACATCGTAAGGATCTGTCTCCAATTTCAAAAATTCTTTCATACTCTCGTGGAACTGTTTATTCGCAAAGAGATCGTAAGCTAACAGTGTCTGAATCTGGTGAATCTTCTCCTTCTTATCCTCTTCATTTTCATTTGAAATTTCCTAAAAATCAATACATATAATCAAAACTCTCGACTTTTCATAAACTTTAACTTACTGTTAATTTTAAAGCCAACTGGAACTGTTTAGAATCCAACAAGACTTTCCTCTGACGTGCCACATCCACGGCACAAATACACCAAACCTGACTTACAGACGCGGTATATAATAAACCCTGTTGGCAGGTAATAATGAATCGCACTTTTGAAAGATCTGGTAAAGTTTGAACTACACCAGGAGGTTCCAAAGTTTGCACTTCTATACACTCTGGAAGTACTCCAAGTGCGTATGGTTCATCCCACGCTAAAGTTAAAGGAACGTCGGACCACCGCAAAGCTTTGGTCTTTTCAGTCTGTCCCAACACATTGACTAGAACAGTTTGGGATTCTCGACACAAAGCAAACGTTTTGTCTGATGCTTTCACGATACAGGGTTCACTAGACCGGCTGCTGCTGGTCGGAAAAAGGTCAGTTTGTTGTCCATTTAACTGAAATCGTAGGAGTAGAAACAACAGTAAATTAAGAAAGTATTTCCTCTTACTTCTATGAGTGCGTATTCACCTCTGTAACCTACACAGATTGTTTCTTCACACCACACCATAGATTTTGGAATTTCGGCCAAGTTTATGTCTTCCATGAGTTGGAAAAATTCATTGTTTTTCAAGTAGTATAGTTGGAGTTTTCTTTTGACGGCGACGGCTAATCGTACTAAGATGCTGGTGTCGCCAGTCAGAGAGGTTTTCTTTTGGATATTTATGGCGAAAATTGTTGCGCCTTTGGATTTTTGGATTTGGTGGACTGTTGTGAAATTGATGGCGTTTATGTCATGCAATTGTATTAAATTGTCTAGAGCAGAAAAAATACGCACAATATTAGAAACTGTTTTATATTTAAATACATAATTTCTTTATTTCAAAATTCTGTTTTGTTTATATTCCCCTATTTACTAGTTAACTATTATCCTATCTAACTAGATTTACAATCCATATAAAAGTAAGACTAATTAATTATTACACAACAGAAATTGATCTAAAAAAATTGATGCATATTTAGTTTATTGCAAACTGGGCAGTTTGTGACCAAAAATACATTATTGACGTTTCAAAATAATGTTAAATTAGTTATTTTCTGTGTCCGAGATGACTCTTGCATGTTTATGGTATTATACTGTCCCTTGGTTTCACACGATAGCGACTTACACAAGTTCTCAAAAAATTTTAACTTCTGTTCATAATTACATGTTTATTCAAAGTAGGCCCAATTTTTTTTCCACTGATCATACAGTTAATGTTTCTGTGAAAAATTTGTATATCTTGTTTACAACAAAAACGACGTGCAAACCTGGCCTCTAATTTAGCTCTGATGCCTCATAGACAGTATTAATTTCCGATGTCTGAACAAAAACAAAAAGGAAAGAAAAACACATTTGCAACTCTGGTCATAACTCAACTTTTCTTTCACAACAGACATTTGCAAAGTTTCCTCTTGCTGTTACAATGCTACCCAATTTTTACGGTTTTGCCCTTAATCGAATCTGTCTGTTCTTTATTCTTCCTTCTGGTGTTTGGTCGTCGTTAATATATATTCTTTTTTCTTTAACGTTCTTTAATTTATACTTGTTGTGCACGACTACTGTTTTGTCCTGCTCTTCTTCCATTTGTATTAAACATATTTTTTCAGTTACTTGGTAGGCATTTTTGATGTTTACCTTTACTTAATTATCTAACAATTTCTAAAATATAGGTATTTAAGGCAACAGACCAAGTGAAACAGACTTTCCCGGGGAAATCGATGTATGGAATACACATCTGAGAAAACAAGACCCTTTTTTAGCAAAAAAATTTGAAAAATCGAAAAGTCGAAAAATTTAAAAAATCAAAAACTGAAAAATAACACAATTTAAATATTCCAAAAATTGAAAAATAGAAGTATCGAAGAACTGAAACATTAAAAAATCGAGAAACCGGGAATCGAAAAATCTAAATTTTAAAATATTTAAAAGTCGAAAAATCAAGACATCAAAAATCCAAAATTTAAAAAAATCGCAAAAATTAAAAAATTGAAAACTTGAAAAACCGAAACATCGAAAAATAGTAAAATCGAAAAGCCGAAAAGACGAAAAATTGTAACATCGAAATATTTAAAAACAGATATCGCGAGAAATCGAAATATCACCGGATAGAAAAATCGGGAAATGCAAACGAAAAATTAAATAGTTAAAAATTGTAAAATCGAAAAATCCGGAAATTGATCAAAAAAAAGTCGAAGACTCGAGAAATTGAACAATCAAAAAATCAAAACATCGAAATCTTATCTAAAATCAGGAAGTCGAAAAATCGAAATATCGAAAAATCTAAGCATTTCCCAACAAAAATTCACCATTTGAACACGTTTGTAGCTTTTTTTTGTGAAAAGAAGAATCACAAGGTAATTGCTTGTAGAGAAACGAGAATTTGGCAATTAAACCCCGCCCCCAGACTCACGACGAATAAAAAAAATCATTACAATTGAGATAGGGCGGGTGGGTGGGGCTTATATTTTAGTTTTTTTTAATAGAAGTATATGCAATATGTTTTTTGAAGTACTGTTGTTGTTAAGTACTATATTAAGGAAAAAAAACACACAGATTAATACCCCCCCCCCCATCTCAATTGTGAGGAATTTTTCGATCGTTTTTAATTTCCGAATTTTCTCTTCTTCATTTTCTTTCTTTTAGATTTCGTTTTCTCTTCTAGTGTTTTTTATTTCTTCACCAGCTCCATCTTGTATGTATTTTACGACAAAATACACTTTTTACTCCACGAGCGTAAGCAAAGGAAGTATTATAATCGAGACCGTCGGCCGACTCTATACTTTTACATTTTCTCGACCTTTCATGACCCCTAGAAGACAAAGAAATAGGCCTTCCGTTTCCGTCTCTCTGTCTGATGATGAAACGAATTTGGTACAAACTTTAGCTCAGTATGTTAAATAATCTAGCTTTCTTTATACTTCGTTAATTTTCTAAAATTTCTAGAACTTTGAAATCGTTGTTAACTGATCCTAATTAAAATTTTCTCTAGCTAGGTGAAAACAAGGAAGGGATCAATACAGTAAAAAGAGATGAAAATATATAATAATAATAATAATAAGCTTTACTGCCCAACAGTTTAAACTATTTAAATTTTCTTACATACCTAGTGAAATTACTAAATTATAGACTTAAATTCTAAAAAAAAACAGAAGAATTAATAATAAAATAAAATAAAGCAGTGATACAAGAAAACAGTACTTCAGCTAAAACTAAAAAATCCTAATTACGCCTATCTGATTTTAACTTATAACAAAAAATATCACTAAACTCTTTATTTGCATTGCTACATATATGATACAGCGGTGCTCTTCTCAGACAATTATTAGTTTTAGGTGTTTTTAAATAAAAGTAGTGCTATAACGTGAAGCAGCTCGGGGTACAATAAAATTAAGTTGATATTGTGTATTAGCTTCCAGGCAAACTGAGCACTGAGTTTGTCTCTGCGCTTTTGGAGGCTAACAAATTCATGTTCCTCAAGCAATGAGTTATAGTCTATGTTGCGCTCAGGATAGACTCCATCAATTCTGAATGAGTGATACTTCAAGAAGCGTTTCTGAATCCGTTCGAGAGCAAGACAATGTGACGCATATAAGGGATACCAGACATATTACAAGTATATTCTAGTTTAGATAGAACAAAAGCAGAATATAGAGATTTCAGTAGGACTGATGCATTACTAAAAGCCTTGGAGTTACGACAAATAAATCCCAGCATTTTTGAAGAAGAGGAACAAACAGTCTCAAGATGCTGAATAAAGGAAAATTATGTGAGTCAAATAAAACGCCAAGGTCTCTAATAACAGTATCTTTTTGCGTGAGAGTTGCATTTTCCATTAAATAATTGGAGTGATATGGACTAACTTTATGGGTGTAACTTACAAAACAACATTTATTAATATTTAGTCTGAGTTTGTGAAGGTTACATAACTCATAAAATATATTAATATTTTGTTGAAAGTGTACGATGTCAGATTCACTATTTATAGCTGAAAATAATTTAATGTCATCAGCATAGGCTAATACTTCACAACTCGAAAGATATAATAAATCATTAATGAAAATAATGAAGAGAAGAGGGCCAAGATTTGACCCTTGTGGTACCCCGAATGTAGCCATATAAGTGTTAGATCTAAAACCACTATAAAAAACATAGCTTTCTCTATTTGTGAGGTAAGAAATCATAAGTTGCAGAAATTTTGGAGAAAAACCCAAGCCGCTTAATTTCTCAATTAGTATCTGATGGTTAATTATTTCGAAAGCACTGGAGCAATCAGTATATATAACATCAACTTGTCCACGTTGTTCAATTTATTCACTAATAAACTGGGTTTTGACCATCAAGTTGGTAACTGTGGATCTTCCGGGCAAAAAACCAGGCTGTATCCTTTAACATTGTTATATATATTTTCGTAGATTGCAAGCTCAAAAACTTTAGCAAAATTTGCCAAAATAGAAATTGGCCTGTAATTGCGTACTTGATTTGGATCGCCTTTTTTAAGTACTGGTGTTACTCGTGCTCGTTTCCAGGTATCCGGAAATGTTACTGTATCGATAGCTAAATTGATTATAATTGACAGTGTCTTTTACAACGAAACTGGGAAAAAGATCATCTCCAGCAGTAGGTTTGTGCCTTAATTTTGACATTAATGAGACAACTAAATCTTCCGTAACGTGTCTCATGTTGAAGCTAATTTTGTCAGATGTGACATCGGTGTTAGTAACATTCATAGAAATAATATTATAAATGGAAGTAACTTAGAGAGAGACGCGCGTTGCCAACACAGTGGGACAGAGATAGGGCTCTCTGGGTGGCAAAACATTGACGCGAAACTGCAGACTACTGTGTTTCTGGCGGTTTCTTTCGTGCTGTCGCATGGTATTTAAAGGTGTATTTTTGCAAATTTAAGTTTTTTAGGCTCAAGTTACCTTATTTAAATGACTGCAGTCTTCTAAAGTTGTATTTTATCGGACTATTTGTTAAACATCGTGAAATCGTGTTGTGCGTATAATTGCAAAGAACATACAAAGAAAGCAATCCTGTTTCATTTCATAGGTAATAATCACATATAGAGACGAAGGATTTCGTAATTATAATTTAAAAAGTTTGTTAGATTCCTTGAACATTCCGAGTTACGAAAAAAAAGGATTGTTGCTACAAAAAGAGGGAATTTTATATCTATTGATTATTGTTTTAATTATTTGTACGTGGATTTAGAAAATAGATTTTACTAGAAAATTCCACACAATTTAATATGTTTAATTTAATTAGGCACCCTGTCACTTTTATCGAAAGTTTAATTAATTTTATCCTAAAAATTTCAGATTTACCAATGAACATACACTACAAGATTAGTTAACTTGTAAAAGATTATTGTATTAAGTGAATTCGTAATAAAATAATATATTGTAGATTCTGTATACATTTCATTTTATTAAAAGACTGTCTCCACCACTTAACATGATTTTTGTTGTTTCATATTACACATAATTTTAATGTAAACTGTAAAAATATAGTTTTCATTAACAAACGTTTGTTATAATTGATTGTTTGAACAAATTCGTAAGAAAATGTATTAATTCCCGTTCAAATGAAGCGTTTTTTGCCACCCAGCACGTGCTACGTGGTCAGCCGTCCTTTTCCCACTGATGCATAACAACTCTTGCTATTTCTTTCTTGTGTTGATTACACTCGCTCGCGTATGGAAACGTATACAAGGCTCCATCCACTCCTTTATTAGATCAATGGTAACATTAGTTTTGTCGCCGAAAATGTT